TATATCCCACCCCCCCTCTCATCCTGTATGCGTGTGCAATTTGTTGGAGTGTTTAGCTATTTTATGTACTTTCTGTGGTTGTAGTTATGTATTTATGTTTTAGTTCCCTTTTTCTACTGAAATAATGCATATCTTTGCCATTATTTTAGAGAGAGAGAACGAGAAATGCTTTTGTGTGTGTGTGTGTGTGAGAGAGAGAGAGAGAGAGGGGGGGAGGGGGTAGGGAAGATGGATGTGTTACGAGCTGGTAGTTCTTTAAGTCTCGGGCCACGTTCAGATTCAAACTACAAATGACGTATTTAGTAAGTTTTGTAAAAGTTTTACGGCACTTGCAACTCAATAAGCGCCGAAGAATAGATGTGTTACAAGATAGTACACACACAAAAAAAGGAGGAGACATAAGGAAGATAAATGTTTGATAGGAAAGAAGGAGCTAACCACACCAGAACACCCGCGTACCACCCACAGTTGGAAAACAGGAAAAGAATTTGTTGCACGGACAATGAGAAAGCACCCGAAACCCTCCCTCCCTCCCTCCCTTCCTGTGCTCCGAATTACGTCCTATCCCAGTGCGCTCACCACGACTGCCCTGGAGTAAACAGTCTGTCTTTGATGACACTGGCCCAGCCTCTTCGCCGCCCTGATTTTGTCCTTACACGTCTCTATTTCTCTAGCATCAATGTGGGGACATCTTCGTTTGTCGTCTTTGAGGTGGAAGAATGGAGGGGGGCTTTGATTAAAGTTCCATGACGCTTTTCCAACGGTGCTGTTCTTTGCCAATATCGATAATGATCTTTGGCCGGTATTCGCCAATATGTGCGGATAAATTCAGCTGTCCCTTTCCTCGATGGGTCCCTTCGCTGCTCCTGCGGCCCTCGAGACTATCAGCGCCTGCTATTGATTAGAGTCGTGACATAAATTCTTTTACTGGGACCGGCCATCCTCTTCTGTTTGATTCCTCTTGGCCTGAGATTATTTCTTAACTGCATCGATTTCCTGTTTTGCTCTCTTTATTATTTCTCTCTTTTTTGTGTTTGAAAAAAAGTATCCCTGCCTCGGATTTCCGGTGTGTGTGGTGTACTGTTACGCTATTTTTTCGTTCGATTCGCCTGCCGTGGACGGTTGGTGGGTGCTCTGGTGTAGTTTGCTCCTTCTTTCCTATCAAACATCTATCACCCCCCCCCCCCGGGGCGGTGCCACTGACAGTAGTGTCTTTAGGCCATTCCCAAAGGGGGGACATTAACCATGTTCCTATTCCAAGTAGAACTGTAATTGTAAATGGGCTGATTTATCATTGTCATGCTCCTAACTGTGCCTGAACTGCAACAGGGAACTGCTGTTTTTTTCTTTCCTAATCCTTACTATCGTAATTTTCCTCTACTGCTTTTGTATGTTTGTTACACTCTTGTGACCTGCTATTTCCGAGGTGCCTTGATAGTCGAAGCAGACTTTGTGCTGGTGAAACTTAAGATGTGAGCAGAGTAAGACTGATTCCCTGTAAGGACTTCTCTTTTGACATCCACGTCTTGGCGCTCATATGACCTTATGCAGTTGCTAACGCCGTAAAACCTCTACTAAAACTAAAAACATATATCGTCCTTTTCTCTCCTCCTTTTTTTTGGTGTTTGTTACTCTCTTGTAGCACCTCTAATCTTCGGTATTTATATGACCTGATTATGTTGCAAGTATCGTGAAACTTTTACTATTTATAAGACAAAAAAAAAAGATTCGCATGTGGTGTTTCCCCATTTTGTTTGGGTATAGTAGTATCCCACCCAGTTTCCGGGTTGTCCTTGGCAGGCAGGGTCA